CGTAGTGAGGGGTAGTGATGCTAATCAAAGATTATCCCGCAGTTTTGGTAAAAATTGCATAAACTATGATATGTCATAGAGAATCCAGTTGTCCGACGAATGTCCGACGAATTCCGTCTAAGAATCATTCTCTGCCGGTAGTACTATTAGGGGGGGGGGGGGGGGGGGGGGTCGAACATTGCAAAAAAACGTGCTCAAAATTCCCTCCGGGTTATGATCAAAAATTTTGACAGTAACCTGCTCAGTTTCAAAACAAGCCACCTCCGGAGGTGGCTTACATTTGGAATGAGCTAGCCCTTTTTATATAAAAAATCCCCCCCCCCTCCTACCGACCATGACCGTAGAGGGGTCCCGCACCCGGGAATACAGGTGGTGTTCCAGACGGCCGTCCGCTGGGGTCAGCCCCTGGCCACGCTGAGGCGAACGCTCCCACTGCTCCTGCTCGTGCCTACCGTGCCTAGGGCATCACCGCCCTACGGCCGGTTCCGTCACCGACGACACGAGGAATGCAAGGTCCCTCCGAAGAGGTGGACAGTCTCAACCTAGAGCCGTCAGGACGGAAGGCACGGGGCTGCCCTGCACCTACTGTGGTGACAAGACGAAGAGGTGTCCCCAAGATGATGACCAGATTATATTTTGTAGTTAAGTAGTATCCTACGGCATGCAGACCTAGTAGGAGGGAACGCGCAGTGGCGTGCTCCCCTCACTCGTATATTTCCCTGCCTCTCGCAAGTCGGCGAAAGAACAGCAAGAAACAAGTTGTGTTTAGTTTTATTACTACTGTTCTTACCGCTGCTACCGTACCGCGCCTACTAGTACGAGTCCTCCTCATATCAATCCGTTGCCTGCCCGACCCCGTCTGGAGAAGATGTACGACAGAGGAAATGGAGGGAGGCGCGGGTAGTGCTGTGCCGCTCCGCACCCGTCTCCAGCCCGGAGTCGGGTGCCCCAAGGTCGTGCTGCACACTTGGAGATAAATGTCGCGCAGACGGCTGCACTCATCGCGCGGTGCCAGTGCACAAGGGCACGCGCAAATGGAGCCTGTAGCGAGCCTGTGCAGTGTCTCTGCGAGTCGTCTCTTTTGAAAATGCAAAATAATTCTTTTAAGTGCGAATTCGACCCTCGCCCCTCTTACTGTTTCTGCTCAGTTTTTGTGCACTCCTCTGCTTACAAATTGAACTCGTGTCTGCTTACTTTTTTGGATTATATTTGAAAGTTCGATCCCCATTACATTGTCGGCCATTTGCAACCGAAGTTGTATTTCTGGGAATTGCGAGTTTTGATTGACTAGATGGTCCGTATTAACCGGATTTGAGACTGGTACCACGCATAACATTGGGGTGCCGTTTACCACCTTCGTTGCAGGCACCGTAGCATGAACGGCAGCGTTTTGCAACCTTCTCATACAAATTGCAAGTCAGACCATTTATAGTAAAATTAAGTAAGGCTACAAACCCTACGGTTCAGAACGCGTGGTGGAACGGCGCACAACAGAACACGTCGTTATGAGCACCAGTCACTACAGAGCAGAGCTCGTGAAGCTCATGTCGTTAAAGGACGACAAGACCGTATGTAACGGGGTACGAACCCAAGCGTACCCAAGTTACATGAAGAGTGACTTGTCATTTTTGTAATACCTGGTACACGGTACCAGAGGCTCTAGGAGCCAATCATTGCATATCTACATAGCTTTACTATAGGTGACTTATAGTTTGTATTAGAAATCAAGCTAATTTTACCTATAAATATATTCAGTCTTAAACGTACCCTTAACTGAGTACTTCGTCCCCTCAGACCAGGGACATATGATCGTTCACTTAGAGTTTTTATACTCTTGGAAGCCTGCTTTCTCAGCGCAAGGTGCTGTGTGACCCCGTCACACCGTATGACGTCTTGCATAACTTCACCACGGAGGAGCTCCTCAGTATCACAACCGTCCTCGTGTGTCGCTGGATGAACGAGCGGGCGTACGGAGACCCAGAGACGAACGACGACATGAGACCCATACATGTAAGATCAAGTACACTGGAGTTCGCTAAAAAAAAAAAAGGCCGCATCAGCGTTCATGCCACGGCTAAACACGACGTGGGATCCAGTGACAAAGCAAGGTAATCCAACACGCTCAGATGATGTCAACAAACTAATCAAGAGAGTGAAACGCTTTGAAGTCCGTCGGGGAGGTGTCGAGTCAAAAGCGCGCCGCTCTGTTGAATTTGATAAATTTATTAGTGCTCTAGAGCTAATAAGATTGTCGAGCTCACGAACCAGCTCCGGCCTCATGATTAGCAGTGTTTTGACGCTCCAGTGGCATATTATAGCACGAATCGACGACATGATGAAGCTTTAATTTAGTGACTTCAGTTACAACTCTCAATACCCATCCACACTGGTATGTCAGATGCGGTGGTCGAAGAATATTTCTGAAGGAAGAGATGCACCCGAGCAGATTATTTTTGACAGCATGGATCCAAGAATGTGCCCCCTACTCCATCTCGCTATTTACACTGAGTCCACTGCAAATTAAAAAAAAA